CCCCCCCCCGCTGACCGTCCAGCAGTGTGGGAGTTGTTTTCCCTCCCTCGTCCCGTTCTTTTGTTCCCCCCAGACTGGCTCTGGAGTGGGGACCCAGCTGTGACACTGCAGGAGGAGGCCCTGGCGGGGCTGGGGTCTCGGCTGGGTCGAGGGGCTCCCGTGATCAATCACTTCTAAGCCGTAAATTAGACTGCCATACCCCTGTTCCCTGGGAACGGAGGGTTTCCTGAGACGTGGGATTTTGGTGCCAAAACAGCAGTGTCCCCCCACAGATGGGGACAGACTGGTCATTTGGAAATGCGTCTCAAAGGCGAGGAGGAAATCCATCACTGAGCGAAGCCGGGGTAGCAAGAAGCTGGGCGGCGAGGGACAAACCGAGGCTGCTAGAGGCTCCGGAGGGGGCTTGGCCCATGAGAAGGGGGCGGTGGGAAACCCCGGGACCTGGGAGAAGCCCCGGGGCCCTGGAGGTTGCCTGGATGCCGGGAGCAGGGCTTGGAGCCCATCTGCCTGCATGGGGACGGCGCCATCTAGTGGCCACCCCACGACATGGCCCTGACAGGTTTTCAGCAGCCAGCTCTTCCCAAACTCCCCCAGGAAACTGGGGACACGGGGGGAGGGGGGGAAGGGTAAGAGGCCCAGCGCTCTCTGGGCTGTAGGGGTTTGGAAGTCGCAGGTTCTCACTTGGCTCCAGGAGCCTGGAGGGTACTGAGTCTGTGGACTGGCTCAGTCCTCAGCAGCAAGGGGCTGGTGTCTGGCCGTACATGACCTAGGGCTGCACCTGCGCCGGCCAGGCAGGTGCTGGGGGCGCAGCCGGGCACAGTCATGCCAGCCCCTCCTGCCAAGCCTGCCTCTTCCACCCCGGGGTAGGAGCCAGGGCCGCTCTGAGCCAGGTCTGCCCCTACTCGGGGGCCCTCAGGTGGGCCATCATGGCCCTGGGCCTGTCCCTTTCCCTGCAAATGGGGGACCGGCTGGGCCAGCCCTTCGCAAGAGGCTGATAGAATCATGTGTATTTTTAAAAATATTTATTATTTTATTATTTAAGTTTATTACTATTTTTAATTTCATCAGAGAGAGAGAAAACAATCCGCCAGGTCCGGGACTTGAACTGTGGTTGGTCGTGTGGAAGCCCAGCGCCCTTGACCACCATGCCACCTGCCAGCTCTAGAAGCATGTGTTTTAAGACTGCGGTTTGCAGGTGGTCCTGGCCACACGGAGGCTGAGCAGGAGGCCACTAGTTCAGGACCCACCGCAACATGGCAGGGCTGTTTCAAAACGGTGGGAGGGGTGAGGTGGTCGGGCAGTGTGCAGGGCGCGCCACACCAGGCCGGGCCGGGGTCCTTTCTGTCTGGCACGGGGCTCCCTCGGTCCCAGAAAACCTGTTCTGGGGTGTTCCTGGCAGGCAGAGGCATGGCCACCGAGGGTCCCATCCACATGGCACTTTGTCCTGACTCGGGCAGCCTCCGGCCCTCCTGCTGCCCTCCCTGCCCCCCTCCCCCCACAGGCATCAGAGAGGGGCCGGGGGTGGGGGTGGGGCGGCACCCTCTGCATGAGCAGGGAAGTGCCAGCCGCGGGGGTGACCCGGCCCTCATGCTCCCCCAGGTTCGAGAGTGACCTGAAGGCCATGACCGGCTGCACGCTCAGCTGGTACTGGAAGGCCATGTGGGCCGGCGTGAGCCCGCTGCTCATCGTCAGCCTGCTGCTCTTCTACCTGAGCGACTACATCCTCACGGGCACCCTGCAGTACCAGGCCTGGGACGCCGCCCAGGTAGGGCTGTAGCCCCAGGGTCCCGAGCATGGGCTTCCGTCCCGCTTCCGCGGTGTGGGGCTGTGGTCACGGCCGGGGCCCCCGGGCACGACAGCCACGTGGGCTCGGAGTGGCTGAGTGTGAGCCCGAGCTGCCCGGCTAGTTCCCGCCCCGGGGCCCCCTGCTCCTCTGCCTCCCGCCCTGGCTGGCACGCTGGGCGGCCCTGGCCCGCGGCGCCTGCCCACGCCCCGTGCACCCTTTGGGGCCGGCATGGAGCTCTCGGGGGCACCCCTGGGGCAGGCTTCCCGTCTGACATTGGTCTGTCCCCAGGGCCAGCTAGTGACCAAGGACTACCCCACGTACGCACTGGCCGTCATCGGGCTGCTGGTGGCCACCTCCACCATGTGCATCCCCCTGGTGGCCCTGGGGACTTTCGTCATGCGCCGCCTCAAGAGAGAAGACCTGGCCCCCGCGGTCTGAGCATGGGGCCTGGGGCTGCGGCCAGCCACTCCTGGTGTAGGTGTAAGCGCCATGGCTGCTTCCGGAACATTTACCGCGGACAGGCGCGGCTGCCCGGGAGAGGCAGGCCCCTGCCAGAGCCTCCCGTTCCCCGAGGCCACCTGTGCCCCCTGGGCCAGCAGAGGAGGCAGACGGCAGAGCCCGGCAGGGGCCTTGTGTCCTCGGTTCTGGGTGGTCCCGGTCAGGGCATGGTGAGCTGCAGTGGGGACCAGGGCGAAGCAGCCTGGCTTTCGGCGGACGGCGCCAGGGCATCCCGGGCAAGGGCTCCGAGATCCGCCTGGGGCACCTGAGGTGGCATATTTTAATGTCACGGAGCAGGATTTTCTTTAGTCACAGCAAACGTGCAATCCGTACCCCTCCTGCCCTCTCACGGTCACAGGACTGACTCCCTGGAGACCGCCACTTGGGCCACGGGGACCCTCCTTCCCCACCCCCCCCTCGGTCGGCAGCCCCAGCCAGGAGATGCCCGGAGCTCTGGAGGTGCCGGGAGCCGCAGGCGCAAGCGGGCACGTCCCGGTGGGAGCTATTTATATGTACATAGGTTTTCTCCAACGGGTGTGGTTCCAGCAGCATCGGGAACCCGAGGACAGGCCACACTGGGACCGGCCTGCCCTGGTTCAGCCGCAGCAATGCAGGCCCAGGGCGCCCCAGGAGTAGGGTCCCGCTCTGACACGCTGTGCGTGGAGGG